AGGATTCATTTACAAACGTAATAATGTTCTCACCTTTATTCTTTATTATCATCTTTAGGAAATCGGGACAGTTCTTTTTATAATGTCCCGTCTTCTTCAAATGGAGACACCGATCTTTAACCACCGGGAATTCTTTGGTTCTGAGACTGCTGCATGGGACCTTTTCGAGATGACTTGGAGGAAGAGTCATATAATAGTTCTTTTTCTTATCTTTTAGGTAGTTGATGTAACCACCTTGTGAAACTTTTATTCTTTCCTCCTCCCCGCACACACATGGCTATGAGCTTTTCTAAATCCTATTTTTCAGGCTGTATGTTGTAATTAGCAACAAAGGTGTCAAATTCTTTGGGCAAAGAAGCAAAAATCAAATGAATAAGAAACTCATCCTTGAGTGCCAAATCCATTGGTTTGAGCTTAGATGCCGATTGCTCATTCTCAAGATGTGCTCTCTAATGCCACCGCCGCCACCAGAGTATCTTTTCAGAACCAAATGCTTGATCAATCACCGGGTTGCATATCTTTTGAAGAGCCAAAGAACCCGACTCTTTATTCTTTCTAGGTACTCTGTGACCGTGTCACGATCTGAAATTGAGCCCACAATAGCAGGCTCAATCGTGTTTTTATCACCGCCAAACACTTCTTGTTGGCAAGGACCCATTTCCTATGCTCAAGGTCATAGGACATCTTTACGGAGCAAAATCCCGCTCTCTGCTACGCCATGCAAACATCGGGCCTCATCTCTCCTCCCTCACCGGTGCCACAGGTGTTCTTTGGGACACGGTGTGGTGACAACCTCATCCACCTCAAATGAGGATAAAAGCCAGTCTATCTTTTTCTTTCACTCAATATAGTTATCACCTTTTAGAGTGGGGATCTCTTTGATACAACTCATCAAGTTGTATCCTCCTGAAAACACAATTCAAATAGTGTGAGAACAGAAATAACAATAATAATTGCATGTCTTAGTTTAACGTTGATCAAAATTAAAACATACAATTATTTTCTACACTAATTCTACATCACCGCTAAGCGTAAATAGAATTAATGTATGATAAAACATTATAATATTGTCATTAATCAACGTTGGTCGAATAACAACAATATTATAATCAATTTAAAATATATCCATTTTCAAAATTAAATTCTCCCGTTGGTTCAATTTAATAATGAAAGTTACATCTTTAAATATGCAAATAAAACTTTAATAAATCTTTTAATTCTATTTTCCGTAAACTCATATCGCACTTTACTATTCATTTGAACAAAATTGACGTTAGATCAAAATTGTATAGATTTCAACATCATAATTCAGTTCAATTCATCAAATATGAATGAACAGCTTCGAAAAATAAAAAGAATTCAATTTCACTGTTCGCAATTTCAGCCCATAGTAGCGCGACTGCCCAAATGATCGCCACACCAACAAGACTTCAGCGCCTGTGCATAACTCAGGCTGGGCGGGCCGAATTGACCTCGCGCCTATCCCGCCTGGGCCAATTTTGGCCCAAGCGCTCCTGGCCGTTGATCCAGATCGAGCGGTGGAGCGCACAGCTCGGGGCATCAAAAGCCCGGCTGGCCGCGCCCCCCGAAAACCCTAGACCATTTCGGCCTTCGCTCTCTCTCTCTCTCTTCGCCTCACTGCTCTCTCCTCTCCACTCAGTCCCGCCGCAGCAGTCACCGAGCGAGGAGCTTCGACGGCGAGAGCAAGCAGCGAGCCCCGGCGCCGTCTCCGGCCCCCTCGCCGGCGTGCGCGCTCCCTAGCGGGTGAGCGCGTCGCCGTCGAGCGGCCTGGCCGCGGCGCCTCTGTGGCCTGTTCCGGCGAGCAGTTCACCCCCGGCCGGCCCTTTCTTTTCCCCGCGTGGTGGCGTGTTCGACGGCGAGGTGAGCCACTCCCTTCCCCTCTTCCCCTTTTGGTTTCTTTGATTCGTTTGTTCGGATTTTGCACGATTTCCCGATTAGGGTTAGGGTTAGGGTTAGGGACGGCACTGTTATTCTTTTTCCCCGAATCACCTTCGGGTTTAATTCGGTTTCCAGTTTTCATCTCTATCCCAAAAACCCGATCTAGGGTTTGGATGTTCGGTTCTTCACTTTTCCCGAACCATCATGTTTTCTCAGATCCGAAAGGACCGAGTTTAGGGTTCAACCGAACCCTTTGTCGGCCGAAGCCCTTTCTACTTTCTAGATAAAAACCCTAGCCATATCTATACCTAAACCGTGGCTCTGGTACCATTGTTAACATTCTGTAGATCGACTAGGGTAGATCTAGGCCGGTGAACACTTGGATTCTTAAAGCACATTCACATCTAGACCTAGAACACTACACCGAGAGGGAGATAGGGTAGAGGTGCTGGTGTTGAACCTGAGCCTTCGGAGGAAGTCGCGGTTGAGCTGGCCATCGCTGGTTCATTGATGGAGGCAGCACACGGGCAGCGACGGCTGGAGTAGAGGTTGCACGGACGTCGATGCAGTGTAGACGGACGGCGTGGCAGTGACGACGGTGAAGGTCAACGGAGCTTCCCGTCGCTGGCTGCGCGCCCTCTTAGATCGGTCTAGGGTTTGTCGGTGGGGTTTGCGGCTCACGGCGAACCTCGTGCTTTGAGCCGCCGGCCCCCACCTCTTTATATAGCGCAGTGCGATGGGGGCCCACCAACCATGTAGGGTTGGGCGCCCCCGATCAGGGCGCGTGACCAAGGCCCAATAGGCCGTTGGGCTTATTGGTTAGGAGATCAATCTAACAAGGAGATCTGTTGAATTTGAGCCTGAATATACAAAGAGAGCTTTTGAGAAGGACAGAAGAGGAAAATTCTAATGCCTGCTGATCTTAAACAATTTGTACCATCATCTGGACTAGTGGCTGCGTCAACAAAGCATCTAGTACCTGGAAGAAGAGCAGGTATGGTGCAGAATCTGTGCCCCCCATGTAAATTCGTTTTTGTTGTTGGAGTGTCTGTCGAAGCATACAAAGGGTTAGTGGCCGCTGAAATGTCTGCATTTGTTTCATAATGTATTTTAGCTATGGACCATTTTTTGTCATTGAATCTTAGATCATTCCTTGCTTTCCATAAGTACCAAAGAGAGGTGAAAGTTTTTTGTACCCTTTCCGGAGATGGTCCTTGTGGCAGGATGGCTGCAATTGCTTCCTGTACACCATCTTGGTCTTGAGGTAGCAGGTGAGTTCTAAGAGGGGGGTCTGCAGAGAACCAAAAAGCTCGAGCAAATTCACAATCAAAGAAGAGGTGCCTATCTGTTTCTGTGATGCCGCATAGGCTGCACTCTTTGTTGATATGGGTGGAGTAGCGAGCTGCTCTTTCCACTGAAGCTAGAGATTGTCGAAGAAGGTGCCAAGCAAAAGTTTTAATTCTTGGTGGCATATTCTTATGTTTCCAGATGGTTTTCAGAAGTATCTGTGTACTATTTGTGAGAGATCTTGGACCTGAATTCAAGTTGGGGAGCATCCTTTGAGTGCTCAGGAGCTTGTAGGCTTCCTTGGTAGCGCATTGCCCTTGTTGGGAAGGCCTCCAAATAAGTTTGTCTTCTTCATGAGATCTGACAATAGGTATTTGAAGAATTTTTCTTGTTACTTCTCCAGAGAAAATTATGTTGATGAGTGGAGCATTCCACGTTGAGGTGTTTGGATCCATGAGATCCTGTACATTGTTGGGAAGGGGTTGAACCGTGGGAGGAAGAGTAAGATGGTGGTGAATGAGGTCCCAGTCCTGACACCAAGGTTCTGTCCATATATTGCAATTACCTTTGTGAATTTGAAAGGAGCAGTTTTCATGAAGGAGGTGCTTGATCTTTAGAACGGAACCCCAAAAGACTGATCTAGGACCATGGGATAGCGCTCTCCAAAAAGAAGATCGAGGAAAGTCTTTGGCTTTCAAAATACTGAACAGGAGAGGGTCAGATTGTGAAGCGATCATCCAAGCTGAGTGAAGAACGAGACTCTTGTTAACTGTTTGAAGATCTCTGATTCCCAGCCCACCAAGAGTTTTAGGTTTACAAATTTCTGACCAAGCTCTGAAATAAATAGGATTTGAAGGGTTTTCTTCCTGAACACCAGCCCACCAGAATCTTTTGAGAATAGTATTGATCTTTTGGAAAAAAGTTCCAGGGAAGAGAATATTGGTCATGTAGTAGATGGGAATGGAGGCTAGGGCAGAATTTATATAGGTGAGCCGACCAGCGTGGTTGAGCTTATTAGCTTTAATTGTAGTGAGCTTGCCAAGAAAGGATTGGTATTAAGAAGCTATAGGCAGCAGCTCGGTCTTTATAGGAGAGGAGGAGAGGATGGCCCAAATGCCGGGTGTTTTTGTCGAGGTCCGAAACAGGGAAGATCTGCTTGATGGCATGTTTGATTGCATTAGGAACCTTTTTGCTAAAGAAGATGGATGATTTGGACCAGTTAGGAGTTTGACCCGAGGAAGCGCAGAAATTGCTGAGGATAGTATTGATGGTGTGAGCTTCCTGAATGGTTGCTTCCCCACAGATAATGAGATCATCGGTGAAAAGAAGGGAGTGAATGGGAGGGCAAAGAGGGTGCAAACTTGGTATTGGGAAGCACAAATCTTCTTGTTATGTCTTCCTTTTAACTTTGGTTGCACTATTAAAAGTTAGTCAAGACGAAAGTGTGAGTTGAGAGTGTTTGGATGCATACATTTGAGGAGCTCCCACTAAGTCAGCTCACAAGAAGTCGAATTGGACGAGACCCAATTTAAAACGAAGTTAAACACACCGGAGCTCACGAGAGGAATTTTTAGCTACTTAAATATTTATTACAAGCAGGAACAGTGAAACTATGTATGTGGTACATCTAGGACCAGAAACTTCGAGGTAATTTATGGTATACCATAATGTTTGTCCTTACAAGAAAGATATCTGAAATGTCCATGTGTAGCTAGGATGCTGATGCTAATCCTCGGAACATGGGCGCTCTCCAGGAAAACATTACTGCAAAGTTGGGATGCCTTCCTGCAATGACTAGAGCAATCGCATAAAGATCAGCTCTTGTTTTCAGTATTTTCTGCTGAAGTAGAGGATGTTGTCGACGCTGTGAGGTCCCTGGCACATTGTGACACGTATGGCTTCAACTGCAATCATCCACACATGACATCTGATTCATGAGCAAATGCAGGAAAAGATTGTAACTCAACTAATATCCATCTTCAGGCCATCTCATTCCCACCAGTCCTAAACTCAACTTTGCCATGGTAATAAATTAACTCGAAATTTTAGAAATAACTATTTTCGCACTGCTTGCTTGGCTTATAAGCCGTACTTTTTCAGCCAACGAACAATATTTTTCTCTCACAATAAATCAGCCAACCGGACTTTCAGCCAAGCGAACAGGGCATTTGTGTTGGGTTTGTCATTTGCAACTACTTTCTTATTATCACAGATTCACATTCTTAACCTAAATTGGGGGCACTGGTGCTCCAAGTTCCTAGTGCTGAAAGTAAATTGAATGTCTTCCAATTTCGTCCAGCAAATTAATGCCCTGTTCGTTTGGCTTATAAGCCGTACTTTTTCAGCCAACGAACAGTATTTTTCTCTTACAACAAATCAGCCAACAGAACGTACTTTCAGCTATGGCTTATCAGCCAAGCGAACAGGCCATAAAGTGCAATCCCCATCCTCCCCCAACATACCCACCCACACCAAAAAAAGAAAGAGAAAAAAAGGCAATTACCTTGAAATCAGTCAAGTCAGGGACCACAAATCTTGGTAATTTTTCATCAACAATCACATAACCACCTACAAAAGCAGGTAAGCTTTTAAGATAACTTATAAAAGGAACAAGTAAAAATATTTACTCATGCCAATGAGAAAGGATTGAATGGAACTAAAATTACGGCAACTACAGCTTGATAACAGTTATAGTATGAAAGTGTTGACTCGAGAACTAGGATATAAGTAAGATAAGAGTGTCAGTGGTGTAAAGAATGACTTCCTACAGGTGCTCTAAAGAGTAAAGACTACAGGTACACGTACATTGTGGTGGTACAAACTAGGCATGATCTGAGGCTGAAACCAGCAAAGACATTAACATCTATGCGACTACGCCACATATGCTGATCCACATATAAAAAGAGACTATGCTTCTCTGGTTACCACAAATGCGACATGGCACCAACTTGTAGCTGGAAAGTCAAAGAATTTACTTGAATTTGGACTTCGACGGGCTCAAGTGGGTCTTACTTTTCATACTGTTTTGCTTGCTCATCCACTAACCTTTGCATGCTAGACCTATAAATACTCATCTATCAGGGGCCTGATGGAGGAATCAGTGAATCAAGATATTGTCCACCTAAATTGGCTATTTTCTGCACTCTTCTGGGTATTTGTCTGCCTAGCTTTGACTCTTTATGCTATTGATGCAATCTAAATGAATCATCTAGAGTAGTAACATGTAGCATATCGTCCATATATATGATGTCATAATGAGGTGATACCCTTTGTAGTTAGATCCAATGCTTCTTTAGTAATGTACAGAATTGTTTATCAGGTTCAGATGGTGCAATCATGCTTTATTCCATAGTTCCTCTGTTTCTCCTTTGCGTAATTATAGGATTAACCTACTATTTCATAGTCTGAGAAAGGATGAATCTGTTAGTTTGCATATTGAGCCATAATTTTTCTAGTTAGCTTGCATTTCATAACCCAGATGGTTTGTCAGGTGCCACTTGCTCTCTTGGCTCTTTGCTTTAGGAATTCGCTGCCCTAAGTGCATCATTTTTCAGTTATTCTACAAATGCATCTCATGTGTATTGCTGAGATTTAGGAGACTCCAGGTTTGCATGTGAATATTAGTTGCTTTGATATTTCACTATTAGCAACAAATGATTCTAAAAATTCTTTATTGTAATTGATAGGTCTGACTAAAAATTCGATCTGCCACTAATAAAAACTCAAATTATAAATTTACGACTGGAAGTCCCAGTCTACCGGCAAGGCGTCGTCCACTGCCACTGGATTGCCCGATTCACTTAACGCTGTTCAAGTCACCCAAGTATCCAGGGACTTGTTTAAATCTGTTTGAGCAATGGAAATGTTTTTCCATTTCAAAAGAAAAAAAAAAGAATCTAAAGCATACAATCATCAGTCTGTTTGGCTCAAAACAATGCTAAGTTTCAACTAACGTCATTACGTTTTTCCAGCTCAAAACAATGCTTTATCTCCATGATCACCTAATCTTGCAAGCGGGGGTAAAGCATGGGCGACCTGGAAGGCTGGACCAGTGGAAGGCAAGATGGTACCTTTGCGGGTGTGGAACCCGGTGGGCTTGCAGTTCTTGCCCTTGTAGTAATCCCGCGGCGCCCGCTTGGAGGAGAGGATGTCGAGCGAGGACAGCCGCTTCCGCCGCATCGCCCGCCCCAGCGAGCCCAGCGTCAGCCCCAGAGGCATCCTCCGACGTCGCGTCGAGCAAGAAAGCGAGCGACCGCCTCCCCCGCAGGTTCCTGTACAGTTGAGGGCCAAAAGAAGGATGAGCGCGTCCCGGGGGAGATCGGCGACGGCGGCGCGAGGAGGGAGACGGTGAAGGGGATGGAGGCGGAGGCCGGAGGCGGCGGCCCAATGGGCCTCAGTCGCGCGTGGAAGCCGAGCAACACCGGCCCAGCAAGCCTTCCAGCCGTCAAACTGAATCGAGCTGCCAATTTTAGAGGCATAAGCAAATGCAACATGTTGATGTTTCATTGTTCTGTAAATACAAGCTGCATTTTATAAAATTGTGTTTAGTTTCTTACATTGTGTTACATGTATATAGTCACCTAACTCCATGTTCTCGTAGATGTGGGGGATTGAGGAGATCCTCCTTTTGTATGCCATATTTGCCTGTGCAAATCAGTATTGTCTAATACTAAATACGGCCAAATCTAAAGTACTAGCTAATACAATATTGAACCTGTTTTGCGAACTGTACAAGCCTTCAAATGGTCTCTGCACAAGTCTGGATACATACTAATGCAGCCAATCGAACGCAACCATACGTGCTCCAATTCGTAAATCGTGCATGATTTCTTTGTGATGTTAGCTTAAATTTGTGCTCAGCATTCTTCACACCTCTTTACAAGTTGTAAATTCAAAATTCCTCGAGCATTTTGTTCTTTGCGGCTTTGCCAACGTTGCAGTCGTGCACCTGATTCCATTTCGGGTATTGAAGCAAGGCAACCGGCATGCTTGCACTAGTTCTCCTATTTATTCGATCGATTATATGCTTCTCAAATGCATTTGTGTATACGACACAGATTCCGCGGTTGGGAACAAGTGAAGTTTACTCGATGCTGCCAATAATTGAACCGATTCCTATGAACTTCATTTGAAATTTCACGTTTCAAATAAAGCCAAGTAGAGTACACCCCAGATGTTGCATTGCACATGCCATGCAAACTGAAGCAATATAATGATCACTTGATCACAGATCACTTCAAACTCACTCCTTAATTAAACAATGGTAATGACACGCGACAGCTCAAACTCGCGGATGAAAACGAGAAGCGGAAAATCAAGAAGCAAAACCAAGCAAATTTAAAAAGAAGTCGGTAGAAGTTTGTAATAATGCACGTGTTAATTTTCGATTTGCGATGTGCAACACTGGACGTGTGGACGATGGCTCAGCACCCGCTCTGCGGCGAAAGCACCCTGCAGGCGGTGGCGTTCTTGTCGTCGACGGCGGCGGCGCCGTCGTCGGCGTCACGAGCTGGGAGCTTCAGCTTGAGCGGGCAGCTGACCTCCAGCCTGCACCACAGAGCGTGCGGCTTGAACGTCACCTGGCCGCAGAAGCCCACCAAGACGTCGAACGCCCCCGCCATGCTCTGGTTCCTGTACGCCACAACGCTGCCGTTCCCGTTCATGAGGTTCATCACCCGCTCGCCGCCGGCGCCAGCGGCGACGGGGAACACGGTGGTATCCCCAGCGAGCAGGACGACGGATCCCGGCGCCGCGACGACGGCGACGCGGCCGAAGCGCTGGCCGTCGAAGAGGTAGTCGACCTCGAGGGACCGGAAGGTGGCGCCCATGGCCCAGTTCGGGTTGCGCACGGTGACCGTCAGCGTGAGGTTGTAGGAGATGTTGGTGGGGCCGTTCGCCGACGTGCTGAGCGTGAAGTGCGTGAGCGAGGCGTCGCTGACGTCGAAGCTGGGTGGCTGCGCGGCGCGGCCGTAGGCGAGGACGAGGACCACGGTGACGGCGACCGCGGCGATGGTGGCGACGCCAATGCAGACGACGCAGGCGAAGCGCCGCCAGTAATCGCGGCCGTCGCGCATGACGACGGATCGATGGTGTAGTGTGTGCACGTACGCACGAAAGGTATAAGTGTAGCTAGCTACTGTCGTGTCTCGTGTGTGACGGTGATGGCAGTTTGTATAACTTGCCACTTTGCCAGGCAGGTGGAGCATGTCTGTCCCATCTTATTATGCTGGTGGTGCGGCTAGCTATGAAACATCAATTGCGTGTACAACACACCAAACCAGGGTCTCAGTATGACACCATATAAATAGCTAGCTACAACCCGTGGAAAAGCACTGTTTTACAAGATGTGCGCTTGCTTTATGGGTGCATAGAGTTATTGCTATGAGAGACGTATATACAGTGAAATTTTAATCGAAATCACTAATTCCACACATTTTTAGGGGTGCATTTACATCCGCTACCCATTACCCTCTGGCTACCACATGTACATTTTACCTATCGCCCTTAAAAACACAACCAAAATTCTGAATTACTTTGACGGCCAAAAATTTTCTTCACTGCCAAAATAAAACCACCAAGCTAATTACTCATTTTCTTAGGTATTATTTGAAAGGGAAATTTTGCTGCAGGACACCGCTAAAATGCATAATATGCTGATGGACACCGCCAAGACAAGAATTTGTCCAAAGACACCGCAAATTCGTGGTTCTTTGCTCAGACACACCGCACCGATTATTTTAATCATTTCTTAGATCTGCGGAGAGAGAAGGTGGGTGAAATGACTCTTTTGCCCTTGTCTTCAACCTCCGACCGGTCATTGATTTTTGCTGTAACACATCGCTGCCGCCTTTTCTTCTCCGATGAGGTCTCGTCCTGCTCCCCAGCACCGGCGAGCCCGACACCACCTCGTGCAACGCCGTTGACTCGCGGCCACCTAGGCATCTCGTCTCCGAGAGCGGCATCCGCAGACTCCATGGACGACGTCGCCTTCCTCTCTCGCTCCCGCCATCTCCAACCTTTCCTCATCCGCCATCAAGCCGCACACACCACGCCGCCGCCAACACAAAGATGCTTGGTCAAGTTGACCCGACGCCCTCCTCCCCCCTCGCTCACAGAAGATGTGCCGCCGCCACCCACCACCCCACCACCGTCTCCGCCAATGAGCCCACACGGGCCGCCAGCGTGGCCAAGCACAGCGCCAGCCGCCGCTCCAACCTACCATGCCGCGGCCGGCCGCTTGCTCCCCTCCAAATAGAGGCCCTCCCGCCATCATCGTGTAGCGCGCTACCGACGCCGCCCCACCCCACCGGTCGTCTCCGCCAATGAGCCTGCTGGGACCCCCACGTCGTCGTGTGACCCAGCCGCCGCTCCGGCCTTGCTTCTTTCTTTGCCGGAGCCCCCTCCCTCCCACGCAGCGTGGCGAGCAACTCCTCCATGGCTTCCATGGCCATGGAGTGAGGAGGAAGATGGACTGTTGAAGTCTCGGCCCACCACGTGATGCCTAGGTGGCGACGAGTCAACGACGCCGCACGAGGTGGCGGCGCGGGCTCGGCTGGTCTTTGCCGGGGAGCAGGGATTTGAGACCTCGCCGGAGAAGAAAAAAGGCGGCGGCGATGTGTTATAGCAAAAATCGGTGACCAAATGGGAGGTGGAAGACGAGGGCAAAAGAGTCATTTCACCCACCTTCTCTCTCTGCAGATCTGAGAAATGATTAAAATAATCGGTGCGGTGTGTCTGGGCAAAGAACCACGAATTTGCAGTGTCTTTGGACAAATTCTCGTCTTGGCGGTGTCCATCAGCATATTATGCATTTTAGCGTTGTCCTGCAGCAAAATTTCCCTATTTGAAACCACCAAGATAATTCAGTTTTCCTTGAGTGCCATTCAAAACCGGCAATGAAGTTCTCAGATCTCTAAAATTGAAAATTTTGAATTTCCCAAATGACCTGAGATAATGACCTAATATAATCCAAAATTATAGTACTTGACAAGATGTAAAACTTTTCAGTTCAAGCCTTTTACATTGGAAATTGTTTAGGATCTCAAATATTCATTACAAGATTCAGTAAAGTGAATACAAAAGAAAAGAATAATTCACTTAATCATAAGTTAATCCTAAGGCGTAGTGGTAAGTGTGCTTTCTTTGAAGGTTGCTGGTCTTGGAGGAAACTAATTTTCTTGACGGTTAGGAGTATCCCCTAAAAGATTGCCGGTCTTTAAAGAAACTAATTTACTTGTTGGTAGGAACATTTTTGAACTGCACCTGATGCTGAATGCATGCATGCGTATATTACATCCTCTCGGATGGATCATATTTATGGATTATATATTATTGCGAGATTATTTCGACCGATGGAGGATCTCGTAATTGTAAACGAATGAACCGCGCAAGAGCACGAGGTGCGCACAACACAACGCGTGAGCATCCTTATGAGAAATTAAAGTGCTACCGTACCGTACGTGCTGGGAGACTAGAGAGACGCTAGTAAGGGGGTGTTTGATTGCCCTTGTTAAAGCTTAGTTGGCTAAATTTAGTTTTATTTAATTATTTTTATCCAAACACTATGATTAAGTGGGACTAAAAGAGGCTTTAGCCAACTACTAGTTACCAGGATGTTGCTAAATGAGACTAAATGAGGCTAAACATCACCTTTTAGTCCCATTTAGTCACTTTAGAGCCAAACACCTTAACTAAGAGAAGCTAAAATGCCTCTTTTAGTCACCTAAACCAAACACCCAATAACTAAAGTATAATCCATGGTTTAGTTACTGAAGTTTAGCACCGGGCAAACAAAAACCCCCTAAGTACGCACGCCAGAACAAGAAATGAAAAGAAAAGATGCTGGACAGGATTACTGGAACAACAACCGCGTGTTCTTCTTCCCAAACTAAAGAAAGAAAGAAAATGTGTCTTTCCACGTCAAGCAACGCAGATGCTGCTAGGCCAAATGGATGGGGGCAGATATTAATAATAGTCTAGTAGAGTACTCACTCCTCTAGAAAAGAATGTAATTATAGAAAGTGTGCCGATCAAATAACCTTAAGTTTAACCAATTTTATAGAAAATAATATTAGCATTTATATCTATAACAAAATTACTATAAAAATATATTTTATAACTAATCTAATAATACTTATTTTATTGCATGAGTGTTAGTACTTTTTTATAAAAATTTGACTCCTCAGACCTGAGAAGGAGGGAGTAGCATCGGAGCTGCGGCGCATCTATTCTCAGAGGAACGCCTTTTTTTTTTTTTTTGAGCAAGGAACGCGTTTTTTTTACGCGTTATTTGACATCACTGACCGTGTTTTTGTGGGCAAAGCCCAAGAAAGATCCGGTGCACCAACCATGACCCACAACATATACGAGCAATACCAGCCCAGCAAGCCTTCCAGCCGTCAAACCGAGAGTCGAGCCGTGTTAGCTCGAGGCCCATTATCCTCGCCGGCTCGCCGCCGCTTGCTTTGTTTCCCCTTGGTGCTATGCAACTACTGCTCAGTTCAGTTGACTGCACGTCAGCTCATCCGATCTGACAGAGTCAACGCCTCTTGCTTGCCAAGGTTCCTTCCAACACAACACCCAGCTGGACTGGACTGGACTGGACCTCAAATCACAACCACCCAACAGGAATCTTAGAGGATGACAAATAACTGACAATGAATTGATCGTCGCAAATCTCCACAAACTTCTACACATCCAATTTCTCCACTCCTACAAATACTCTTCCAAGCACACACAGCAACAATCTCTTGCAACAACAAGAAGAAAAATCTTGTCTTGAAGAATTAATTTTACAGGAAGGAAGGAAAGGAAGCAAGAAACTAGAAAAGGCAGCCACCAAGCAGAAATGGAGCTAGCCAGGCCACCAATGGAGAGCTGGAGCAGAGTTAGCTAGCTAGCTAGCACCCGGACTTCTTGGCGCGGAGGATGGTGCACTTGGTCCGCTGGAACGCGGTGGCGGCGACGTCAGGGTCGACGAGCTGGAGCTGGAGCGGGCACACAACGACGAGCGGGCACTTGGCGGAGCGGCCCTTGTACTGGAGCACCGTGTCGAGCCGCATCTCCACGCCGAACTTCCCCGTGTCGTTCTCCGCGCGGAACTCGCCCACCCCGGGCTTGCTCAGCTTGATGGTCTTGTCCGCACCGCCGACCGTCACGCGCACCGTCGCCGTCTTCCGCGCCTTGTGCTCGAACCCTGGCACGGACGCGGAGTCGTCGAAGCGGGTGCCGTTGAAGGAGAAGGTCACGGCCAGCGCGCCGTACTCGATGGCGCGGTACATGTTGGGGTTCCGCAGCGACACCGTGGCGGTGAGGTTGTAGGAGACGGTGGAGTTGGACGCCGGGTCGGCGGGGGTCAGAGCGAACCGCTGCAGCACGGCGTCGTCGGCGGTGGCCTTGGGCGGGCGCACCACGCCGAAGGCGAGCACGAGGACGATGATGACGCCGCACACGACGAGGACGACGACGGTCCAGATGGCGATCTGCGTCCAGCTGCAGTCGGAGCAGCAGCCGTCGTCCTTGCCGCTGCACCAGCCCTCGTAGAACGCCATGGTCGGGTGTGGGGTGGTCGGGTGGACGCGGATCTTGCCGGGCTGGCTCTCTGAGACTGAAGAGAGAATTTGGGGGAAAAGGCTTCTTCCAGCTAACAGAACTCTCTCTGTTGAGAGAATCACTCGCCCCGCCCCTCACCGATTGTTGTTGTTAAAGAAAGAAGAAAGGAGGGAGGGCTAGGGGACGACGACGAAGACTTGGGCGTGCGGGGTCATCGCCGGACGCGGGACACGGAGGAAGGAGGTCCCGCTCGGAGAAGCCCACCCACCAATCGGAAATCTTGGAGAAATGAAATGGCAAGTGAAATGAAACAGGACAGGAAGGTGACCGGCCGCCGGCCGCCGGTTGGTGGTGCGCTTTACTAGAGGGCCGCGCCAGCGCCCGTACCAGATAGGCTCGGGCGGCTGTGTGGCCTGTGGGCGGACCACCCGAGGGCTTTATAAAAAAAAAGGTAAATGAAGAAGTTGTAAATTCCATGTGGCCGGAGATCATGAATAAAACACTTGAACCCAATCACCCAATT